ATGACTTCTGCGTTCCGAAATCTACAAGAAAATGTATTAAGTGAAATTTCGAAAATTTTGTTGAAAATTGGTCGAAAATTGGGGTATTTTGCATATTTTTGAATGTTTCAAACGGCGATTCTGGAAAAACCAATGGAGTTATCGAAGAAATGAAAGCGGATATGACTTCTGCGTCCTGAAATCTACAAGAAAATGCATTAAGTGAAATTTCGAAAATTTTGTTGAAAATTGGTGGAAAATTGGGATATTTTGCATAATTTTGAATGTTTCAAACGGCGATTCTGGAAAAACCAATGGAGTTATCGAAGAAATGAAAGCGGATATGACTGCTGCGTCCTGAAATCTACAAGAAAATGCATTAAGTGAAATTTCGAAAATTTTGTTGAAAATTAGGGTATTTTGCATATTTTTGAATGTTTCAAACGGCGATTCTGGAAAAACCAATGGAGTTATGGAAGAAATGAAAGCGGATATGACTTCTGCGTTCCGAAATCTACAAGAAAATGTATTAAGTGAAATTTCGAAAATTTTGTTGAAAATTGGTCGAAAATTGGGGTATTTTGCATATTTTTGAATGTTTCAAACGGCGATTCTGGAAAAACCAATGGAGTTATCGAAGAAATGAAAGCGGATATGACTTCTGCGTCCTGAAATCTACAAGAAAATGCATTAAGTGAAATTTCGAAAAGTTTGTTGAAAATTGGTGGAAAATTGGGATATTTTGCATAATTTTGAATGTTTCAAACGGCGATTCTGGAAAAACCAATGGAGTTATCGAAGAAATGAAAGCGGATATGACTTCTGCGTCCCGAAATGTACAAGAACATGTGTTAAGTGAAATTTGCATTTTTCTCGCTTATTTGAAGAGACACGTCAAAAACGAATACGGAATCGTGATCCTGAGGAAATTCCGCTTAAAATGACACCCAACACGGTCGAAAACGGACCAATTTTGTGGAGAAAATCGGGTGCCCTTTTTTGTTTTGACTGCAACGCTATAGGATTTGTTCTCGAGACTTCCACTGGGAAAGCAAGTCTTACACCCATAACGCTTAGTTTACGGAGTCGTGTGTAAGGTGAGAAAAGAGGAAGAAACTTAAGTAAATTGACTGATTCATTAATTTTTTGGCTCACCCTGTATAAGCAAATCTAAAAAATATGAATGCAATGACAAATTACAAGCAGTGTTGGGGACAGATACTTTTAAAAGTATCTAGATACAGATACAGATATATGGAAGATAAAAGTATCTAGATACAGATTATTTTCGATTTTTTCGAAATGTATCTAGATGCAGATACAAGATACTTTTTGAAGCTTTGACGAATAAAATAACTGAAAACATGTTTATGTATTTTTTTATGTACCTATTGTTTAATGATTTTTTTAAAATTAACAACATTTCAAACGTATTGTTACCTAAATTATTTCTTCTTGGTGTCAGAATTTGGTTGCCGCTACTAAACACCCCTTCCACAGGTGCAGAAGAAGGGATTGTGGTATTAAATTTAAAAAATAAACAGTTTAGTGTAGCATGGTTATTCAAGACTGAAAAATCTTTTCTTTTTTCCTGCAAATAGGCCATCGCTTCGCTCTTTGATGTGTCGCAAATTGTGCAATATTTATTATGTACGCTTAAAAAGAATATTTTTTTTGTTTTTATTCCCGTACTACAGTATCCAAATTGTGTTTGAATATATCTAATAATTATCTCCAGCATTAAAATTAATATTTCAAAAGAATACGGGAAATGATTATTCTGTGCTCAAGGTCTGTTGTCGGCAACCTGTCATAAATTATTATTCTTCAATATCGGCTTATGATGTTTTTATGACCATGTCCGGTAATCGTCTATCCCGGTGCGACAGGTATAGATTTTAGGAAGAATTGCTGATTCCGTTTAATAAGGCAAAATAAGTACAATTTCTTGGCAAGATCCTTATAGGATCAAAGGCTGCCAGGCAGGCCGGCATCACCAGAGTGCAACTTTAAATTTTCAGATTTTTGTTGAAACTCATTTTATTTTAATCTCGTTTCACGATTTCTGAGAATATATCATGATAAATTATTCTACCGAGGGTTGTAAAAATATTAATTTTATTGCCCAAGACTTACACTTAAACATAATCGGCACATTCTAGGGCAAAACGGACCTGCCAAGCCCGCCTCGCGTTAGGTCCAACAGTGAAAAAGTGAAGAAATGACACATGTGGCAACAGGAAAATGTGCTACATTTGTCTGAAAAATAAAGGTATAAAACAGTAACAAATATGCGATTTATGCGAGAGAAATGTATGTATTGAACATTCGATTAGTCGATTACAGAACTAATTTGTGCTAATTGAAAAAATTAATCATTATATAACACGCAATTATTATTTTCTAAAAATAATAACATACCTTAAACAAATATTTTTACTAATAAAATTACTCTTATTTAATAACACAAATATAACCAGCCGGCCTACCAGACCCGGGTTGTTCAGGTACACAGATAAAATGCATTGCCCCGGATAAGCGTAAGACGCAGTGAATAGTGAATTGTGGCTTATGGTTTTTAAAATACCATCTTACCATTGATTAGATTTATTACCCCTCAGGATTATATTTAAAGATGTATAAGTACTGAAGGCTACAATGTAGGAAATGATGGTATTTAAAATATGAAAATTTCCATGACAGAACACTATTAGTGGACCTCTTACCTGTATTTTTTTTATGTGACCAAAATCACCAACATGAAGTATCAAAAATTACTACTAGTGTAACTCTACTAATAACTACTGAAAAAAAGGTGAAATAAAAAAATGTATCTGTATCTGCGACATTAATTTTGTATCTAGATACAGATATTTTGTGCTTAAATTCGATTGTATCTAGATACTTTTTTTAGATACAAGTATCTAGATACTGCCCAACACTGATTACAAGTACAGACTGATCATATTTTGCATTTTGATTAAAAATTTACCATGCTTATAATAACTTCAAAACGTCTGCAAGATTTAGAAGTATGCAATTTTTGCAATTCTTGATTTAATCAATAAAATAAATTGACTCAGTTATTAATTTTTTGAGACACCTGTACAAGCAATCTAAAAATTTTTAAGTAACGTCATCACATTGTTGGTGGGGATGATTAGACAAATTTTGGTTAGCATTTTACCATCTACATCGTATTCTTTATATAAATACAAAATTTAACAACTATCGGCCAGTACTTTCGGAGATTATCTGTCTAATAAAAATCGTGACGGCAGACGGACACACAGACGGGCAGACAGACCAAAACGGGAGACTTATTTCTTCGTACTCTAGGGGTCATGAAAGGTCGATAAATATATACATATTTAAAGTCTCTGAATACAACGACTACACACGGTTTCCATGGAAGCGCTGCAGCAACATATCATATACCTGTCTTATATCCAAGACACAATATCTTTAGAAGTAAGTTTTGATACATTTTATACAAATGGAGCGAGATAAAAAAATTAGTTTTGATAATTATGACACAAATTTCCGGACAATTTTTTATATAGGTATTGGGGTAAAATAGGGAAGGAAAGTTTCTATGAGAGTCCCGTCAGTTTTTAAGTTAGACTGGGGGAAGGGTAGGGGAAGTTAAAATTAATGTGATCTAATTGAAAAATGCAAACAAGCGGAGCGTCGGACAACAGCTATTCTGGTGTTAGATATTATTTGATTTTTTTCCCTAAAAGTTCAATTTTCTACCGCTGTACTACGTTAAATATTAGACTTACGAAAAAAATGTTTTTACAACAAATGCGTCAAATTTTGTCGTCTGTAAATTTGTATAGAAATTTAGATGGCGGTTCGCGCTTTTATCCCCTAAAATCGGATACAGTATGAATAGGGTGTCTATAAATGATTATAGGGTAGAAGTAGGTCATGAAAACGTGCCACCTGTCACTTTATATGAACTTTGCTAAATTCCCAAGGACTCACGACAAATACCACACGTATCTGTATAACTAGTTGCCTAAATGCTTCATATCTTATTAAAAAAATAAAATTAATTCATTAGAATAAAAAGAAACAAATTGATTGGGGTTAAACATCACAGTAAATATTGCAAATGTTCACCATTTTGTTCAAGGCACATGTTCACTAATCACAATTGTTTTAATTTATAAAATGTGCAACAATTTTAATTCAGCCTGTGAAATATGTTGTTTCAATTATTTTTTCAAAGATCCTGTGTAAACAACTATAAAAAATACAAAGGTGGAATATAATTCTAAGGCACGAACAGATTTACTAGTCGAAGCATATTATGTAACAGACCTGTATTTAACAAATTTTGGAGGCAATGTCAACAACTGCCTATGTAATTTTTTAATCGATGTTGTGTAACAAAATTACAAAAAAATTCGTTGTTTAATTCCTAAGAACTGATTTTATGTAATAAATTGTATTTTTTGCGATAACCCGTTTGCATATCGCTAAAAATATGATAATATGAATTCCTCATTAAGCCAAGATCAAGGAGCATATCAGTCTCAAGCGAGACTTCTAAACAGAATTTTGAAATGACGTCATCAAATTTTACTCGTAAAGATTTCATAATATTAATTACTTCTAATCACGAATTTCTGTTTTTAACAACAAACAACATAACGTGGATACAAATATAACCCAGACCTTTAACACAGAACTATTATTAGAATGCTAAAGATTAATATTGTTTTTATGAATAGATATGGGAAACCCACAACAGAAACTGTTTTGTCCACAACTTTTTTCGTATAACGAATAGGTTAAAGGCCGCCTAAATTAAAGAGCAAAATACTTATACATAGCCGGCATCAATGTCCCCATTCTCAATCGCCACGATTTCCCTGAACATGGTATTTCTGGGGCGAAACTGCAGACTTCAGTTGATATGTGCATACTAAATTTAGCAATTCAACATGTGGTTTAATATGCTACCTAGGACAATTCGAACTGAAACAGTTTTATAAATCAAAATAGCTAATTTATTTCATTAATAATTCCATATAAATTTTAAAAACAGTGGCATTGTCGGTGTACATCACTTACACAATTATTTCAATACACAGCTATTTTTACACAAATTTTTACGACGTAAATCGTATGTGTGTCGAACTTCATCCAGCTTAAAATCATATATAACACGATATAAATTGTTTGACTAAGAACACCTAAACTCTACGAAATACAAAACAACATATAATCAGGTATATCATAAAGAATGCAAAAACGGAAATGGTAACTAAGAAATCGAGTTAGATCTTATAACAAATGGTCAACTAATTGAAATCCTTTCGATCATACTCTCGAAAGCTCAAGCTCAGGATTCAATTTTGGGAGCCCACAGAATTACAGGGACGCATTAAATCATGTACGAATGTTTGGCAGTGAGAGAAATAAAAAAACTGCTAATATCACAGCTTGTTCGACCGTCTTTTGCAGTCTTTTGTCTTTTCTGTCGTCAGGATGTTCTTGAAAATTTAGGAAAAGGTACACTATGTCCGCCTTTGATAATCATTCCCAAAGACACGCTACATTGTCTCTCTCCCTTCGAGTTTATTCGCTAAGTCCGAAATGACCTCTCTACACATCAGCATGTCCATGTTTTTACTCATCTGATAGAAGAGGTACCAGTCCCCAATCTTGCACCAGCTGTTGATAGTCTCCACGTCCTTCTGGTGTGCGATCTTGTACTTGCCTCGCAGCAGGTAGAGACGCACCTTGGGGATGAAGATGACTACCAGCCGGTATACCAGCCATAACCCCGTAAGTGCACTGAGAAACACGAACCAGAACCACAGAAACAAGTAAATTTTCTCGTTGACAATGTTCAGCGGCAGGACGCACATTCCGTCGTTCTTCTGCATTGAACCGGAAACGCCAAACTTGTAGACGGTGCATTTGGCCATCTTGGGGAACACCCGGGACATAGGATCATTACTGTCCTCTGGCGGCATGCCCACAAATCTGAAGACGTCGAACCCGTAAGTACCGAACTCTCCGTCGAAGAGGTAGTCCATGAAGAAGAACTGTCCCACTACGTTCACGAAGTTGAGCACCTCGCAGAAGAAGAAGCGGAAGGCGTAGTAGTTCTGCGTATGCAGGTTTACTACAAAGTAGTCTACAAGCAGGCGCTTGCGTTCGGTCTTGCGGTCCTTGTCGACGAAGGGGTTGTTAAGATCCTGTACAAGCATCTTGATGCGGCCGCCCTCCCACGTCTTCCACAGGTAGCGTGGCACGTAGAAGAGAATGGCCTGTAAGAACAGTATGAAGCAGATCCAGTGATAGTATTTGTACATGACCGATTTGGAGTGGTTCACTTGGGTGTCCACCCCCGGTTGCATAACTTCAATGTCCATGTGGCGCTTGAGCCTGCTCCAGCACAACGTATCCATGGCGTGAAGGGAGATATCGTGGAAGATGCAATGAATGGAGTCTCCGATGTATTGCCTGCACGTCACCACCACCGAAAAAATCATGAGGATGATAACTGTCGCTTTGTAATGCAGGTGAAACATTTTGTTGTCGATGCACACGTTATCGATCTTAAACAATCTCTTGAAGCAGGCGAAAACGTCGAACATGATGGTAGTTCTTCGCGCACTAGAAATCGCGATACTTTTTACTAATGGTATTAATCACCTAATTGGCAATAATTATCTGTACACTGAGAGCGCTACTACTTGAAAGGGAGCGGGAACCGACGTCGAGTCGCATTCAGAGCGCAGCCGGCGATGAGGAGGTGGAACGATCGCTATATAGATTATTATTAGAAATTTAACTTAACATGCCAGTTTTTTTTCTTTTTTTGTTTTTTCAGCCCTTTTAAATTTATTTCAGCGATTACTATTGTTTAATATATAGCAGTTATGGGGATTCAGTTTTTCCATTATATAGCGGAATAATATGTATTATCCGTACTGAACATACATTATTTCTTAACTCTTCGTTATAGTCACTAATAATAATAATTATTTATTTTTATATATCACCTAGAAGTATAAACTTTGGTGAATTCGTCAACACGTGTTATCTTTAACTATTTGTAGTTCTAATACAACTACAGTAATGTAAATGTTCATATAAAACACTTGGTTTGAAATGATGATATTCGGGCTAAATTTACTTAGCAATGATATATCTAAAGTTCTAGATGTTTTTACTTCCCAAGCGTAATATAAGGAAGTAATATTGTGATTGAGTCATGACCCCAAAAAAGCGAGTCTCCCGCTTTCGTCTGTCTATCGTCTATGTGAATTTATTATTAGGGAGTTAATTTCCCAAACTACTGGATCGATTGTGGTCAAATTTTATATGTATCTTAGAAATATCATGTAGATGGTCAAACACTAACCAAAATTTGTCTAATGCGAATTTAAATTAAATTTGCAGTAGTAAATGGATCTAAATTTTATAGAGTAAGACACTCCTGCACTTGTCGTTCATGAATTCGTGTTGGATTTTTACCCTAGACAATTAGATTTTATAATTTTTATTTTTTTGAGAATAAATCCTGTCTAAAATATATACAGAGTGTCTCTGAAATAAGTACATTAATTTTAATCAGTTATAGAGCTCATCGAACTAAACAACTTTTTTAAATAGAGTTTTGTCAAGAACTTTTTAATTATCAAGTTAAAAATTGTTAAAGTTTTATACCAATTAAGGTTACCCGCCCATGGATCCTCAGTTACCCAAGGACACTAATCTATATTAATAAAAATGAATCGCCGAAATATATGTACGCTCATAACTTTAGAACGACTGCACCGAATTGGACGATTCTTTTTTTTACGTGTACCTTATTGTCAGGACAAGGTTTATATGCAAAGAAAATTATAAAAAAATAAGACGGCTAAAAGATAAAAAAAAATAAAAATTTTGCATGGGAATCGCCACTTCGAATGAATTTGAATAGTTGGCGTTCTTGACGGACCTGTCGCCTGACTGACGTGTCATACAAAACTATTTCTTCCGTGCGATTGTGAAAAGTATTATTGCATTTCAAGTCGTTGTTTGTTTTTTCGTAACAAAAAACGTTGTTTACTTTAAGAAAAGTGTTCGTTAAAGTGAATTTAGTTACGCATTGCGAAAGTTTCTTATTAATTTTGAACTGCCATTCTATTTACCTATGTTCACTTTGTTGGTTTCGACAAAACCTCAACCTTTACCGTTATTCGAGGATTTAGTTTGAAGTTGTCAATATTTTAAAATTCCCAAGATAAAATTTACAGATTTGATTGACTGTGAAAATAATTCTGTCGTTTTATTAAGTTCATTACAATGCCGAGAAGACAACAAGCTGGCATAGGTCCACGAAGTCAATCAAATGTGCGACGAACTACCTCAGGTGCAAATCGCAATGATTTATTTCATGGGTAATTCGGATACGGAAGTTGATCAGCGTTGTGCTCATAATCAACATCATAATCAAACATTGAAGCGAGACATTGGACGGTATGAATAAAACTGAGTAGATACTCATATTCGAAGTACGAAATACCTACTTCATTATTACTCTTGTATACCTGAGCATCTACCCGATGTACTGTGTATCTACTTGCAAACATTGTATCTCCCCGGACACAAATTGAACATTTACGGGTTTTGTGAGCATTTAATCTAAAAATGAGCATCGGCGTGGCAAATGACTATTTGTCCTTATAAATCATAAATTAAATGTAATATATTTTTTTTTCCTTAAGAATATAGAGTTAACAAAGTTAGTTGAGTTACAAAAGTCTCTTTTGCTCCACGTTGACCACCAACGAGCGATTTTCATGATTTTTGTGAAACTTTGCTGGTTTTGAATTTGAATTTTCTGTCCTCGATAGTTGATGCTCAGCAAGAACCACGGGAAGGTCTGCAGCAGATCTCGCTAGGAAAGGAGAGGGCTAAGAATTGTTAATGAGGGATAGAACGTTATACAGTACAATACAACGGAAATACAATACAGGTACCTACAATCTAGCTACAATACAGAATACACTACAGATACAGATACAATTCAGATACAATACAAATGCAAAGTTAGTACCCAATACACCATCGGAAGAAATTGCACCAAAAATTGAGAATGTTGCAAAATGAAAACCCAAGCAAGCACACCGATGGAACTCGGGACGAAATCTATTGGTCGCAGCGCTCACACGCCCAAGGGAGAACGCAGCCGCATAAATCCAAGGTCGTCTTACCTCATTCTCAAAGAACGATGCAACCCAGCGTCTAAGGGCCAAAAGAACCCCCCCAGGCCAAAGCGTCTGACGACATGGAGAATTCAAACCCGGAACCAAAGAATGCACTGTTGCAAAATGAAAACCCAAGCAAGCACACCGATGGAACTCGAAACGAAATCTATAGGTCGCAGCGCTCACACGCCCAAGGGAGAATGCAGCCGCAAAGATACAGGGCCAACTGACCTCATCCGTTTAGGATGATGAACCTCATCCGTTTAGGATGATGACCCAGCGTCTAAGGGCCAACAGAACCCCCCCAGGCCAGAGCGTCTGACGACATGGAGAATTCAGTCTCGGAACCAAAGAATGCACTGTTGCAAAATTAAAACCCAAGCAAATGCACCGTGAAAACAAAGCATTTGCACCACTGGAGCTAAATTGGCAAGACCCAAGTTAAGTTAGTAACACATACATTATACAGTACAAAATGCTTCAATTACAAAAGTTACAATATACAAATTTCTCCACGTTTGCCAACAAAGAGCGATGACTGTGCTCGCTCGTTGCTGTTGCCCAGCAAAAACCAAACAATACGAGGAGGTCTGGAGTGCGTCTTGCCATTAAAAGAGAGGACTAGGGTTTGATAGCATGGGTGAAGGACACCGTATTTTGTAAATTTGGACGCCGTAGTTTAAAAATGATGCATACGGTATTTTGTGAATTATGAACGCTGCACTTTGTATATTCCAAAGCCGTACTTTATCAGTCCTGAATGCATGTTATTAACAACATATTTAAAAAAAAATCGGGCATTTTTGGAAAAATATCCACTTTCCTTCGTGTTCACCACACGTAACACAAAACATTTTCGCTAATATTTATTACCAATAAATTAGAAATTCGCGAACACGTGCTAATTTTAAGACAAAACGGAGCTCAAGTGTTGCTGCTACCAGACCGGAATCAAAACTAAACACAGAGGATGGAAAAATTGACCTTTTATCAGGTATTTTGGCCGGGAAAATGCACATTTTCGGGGATAATTTAACAATGTTTAAACAAATTGATTTGTTTTTAATAATTTCGGGCTTTTAGGACAACGAGTTTCGGTTTAATTATCATATATTTATGCTTATCATATTTAAACATTATAAGTGATATTAATTATGTTTAAAATTGATTTATTTATAGCGTTAAAATGTATAGCTTTGATCAACCGATTTCAATCGTTTCGAAAATGTCCCCAAAATTTAAACAAAGTCGAGTGAACGAATCACGGAATCCGATAAATTAAAACTGAAGTCGTACTTACCCTGTTTTCCGTCTTTTTCGGAAAAATATCCATTTTCGTTCGTGTTCACAGCACTAACACAACATATTTTCCGTAATATGTATTAATAATAAACTAGAAATTCACTAAAACGTTCCACTTTTACGCCAAAATGAAGCGACGATCTTGCCGCCATCAAACAGAAATTAATACTGAACACAAAGACCGAAAAACGTGACGTTTATACAGGTAGAGCAGCTTTCAACACGAAAGGGTACAGGTGGTGGGAGTGCGCAGAACATTGTTTTGGTTTGGCTTTACAAATATCATGCAAGCAGTGGCAGCGGCGATGAATATTTCGATTTTGAAATATTAAAATATTATTGCGGTTAATAAAAATATCACTTTTCTATTTTATTAGCGTTGACATTATAGAAAAAGAATTTCAACAATTATTAGTGCTGTATTTGATGTATGAGTTGAATAAAAAAGTAAGTAAAAGAACTAAAAGGGTAATTTTTAGTGAGTAATAATAACTGTTAAATTAGGGTACAGTCGAAGCTCTAGTTATAAACGACAATTATGCTAGAATATGAACTGTGATTATTACTTCGATGTTAAAGACAGAAAACGTCAAGCCTTATTATAATCCGACTTTACGGTATCGATAAATTGTGCCAGAAAATAAAAAACCATATAATTATAGTCATAGGTTGCTTATTCTCAGAGTTTTAAGCCCGCTTTTATCTAAAGATTTAACTGTTGATTTAAGACTAGTCGACTATAAAATAGTATATGATACTGGTTTATAATGAGGGGTTCGTGAAATTTTTTACTCATGCTATAATCCCTCCCGTTATAAACTCGTTTAATTGACCCTTATCCTGTAAGCAAAATGAGTAGACATTATATAAATTCCAATGATACAGAGTAAGACAACATCGCGCAGGCGAAGTCAGATTTCTGTAGCGCCAAGTTAAAATTAACCAATGAGCGACAGATTACGCATGTGTTTCCGGCTGCATTCTGTCAGAGCGGTTTGTTGTCACAGGCCTTTGCTCTGCTGCCGGAGTGTGGGATACCATTTCCAACGTGATTTTGAATATGCGTGCGCACGGAAAGTCACTATAGAAGTTTTACGATCTTACAGCAAAAGGGTCAATAATTAAAAATACCAAATTTTGTCTGATAGATTATCATAATTTATTGTTACGTAAGCCTATTTTTTTAACAAACAAATTAATTTATTTTTATTAAATGG